GCTCCTTGAAAGCGGCAGCTCTACCCTTTAGCTCAGTGCGGATGTTTCCTGTAATCCATGGCTTCTGGTTGGGGTATGTACGTACGGTCACTGTGGGGACGACATCATCGATGCACTTATTGATGAAGCCAGTGACTGATGTGGTGTACTCCTCAATGCTATCTGAAGAATCCCGTAACATGTTCCAGTCTGTGCTAGCAAAACAGTCCTGTAGCTTAGCATCTGCGTCATCTGACCACTTTTTTATTAACCGAGTCACTGGTGCTTCCTGCTTTTAACATGCTGGTAGAAATTAGGTAGAACGGATTTAAGTTTCCATGCATTAAAGTCCCCGGCCACTAGGAGCGCTGCCTCTGGATGAGCGTTTTCCTGTTGACTTATGGCCTTATACAGCTCATTCAGTGCAATCTTAATGCCAGCATTGGTTTGTGGTGGTAAATAGACAGCTATGAAAAATATAGATGAAAACTCTCTTGGTAAATAGTGTGGTCTACAGCTTAAGCACAAAGCCAACACAACGCAGGAGTGGCTTCGGGACAAGTCTCTGAATGTTCTTGAGTGGCCCAGCCAGAGCGCGTACTTGAACCCGACCAAACATCTCTGGAGAGACCTGAAAATAGCTGTGCAGCAACGCTCCCCATCCAACCTGACAGAGCTTGAGAGGATCTGCTGAGAAGAATGGGAGAAACTCCCCAAATACAAGTGTGCCAAGCTTGTAGCGTCATACCCAAGAAGACTCGATGCTGTAATCGCTGCCAAAGGTGCTTCAACAAAGTACTGAGTAAAGGGTCTGAATACTTATGTAAATGTGATATTTCAGTTTTTGTTGTTTTTTAGCAACAATTTCTAAAAACCTGTTTTTGCTTTGTCATTATGGGGTATTGTGTGTAGATTGATGAGGGAAAAAAACAATTTATACATTTTAGAATAAGGCTGTAATGTAACAAAATGTGGAAAAATTCAAGAGGTCATTTAAACTAGAAATGGGGCGGTCCCTCAGAGAGACAGGCAGCAGAGTCTAATAGCAAAGGGTCTGAATACTAATGTAAATAAGGTATTTCTGTTTTTATGTTTAATAAATGTGCTAATAATTCTAAAAACCTTATTTCGCTTTGTCATTATGGGGTATTGTGTGTGGATTGATGAGGAACATTTTCAAATTAATCAATTTTAGAATAAGGCTGTAAAGTAACAAAATGTGGAAAAAGGGCAGGGGTCTGAATACTTTCCGAATGCACTGTATATGATGGTGTGTGAATAGACATAATGGTCAGTATATGAATAGAAAAGGTGTGTACAGCAGTAGTTATATAGGATGAGCCTTGACTAGAATACAGTATATACAGAGAGGGAAAAAAGTATTTGATCCCCTGCTGATTTTGTACGTTTGCCCACTGACAAAGACATGATCAGTCTATAATTTTAATGGTAGGTTTATTTGAACAGTGAGAGACAGAATAACAACAAAAAAATCCTGAAAAACGCATGTCAAAAATGTTATAAATTGATTAGCATTTTAAAGAGGGAAATAATTATTTGACCCCTCTGCAAAACATGACTTAGTACTTGGTGGCAAAACCCTTGTTGGCAGTCACAGAGGTCAGACGTTTCTTGTAGTTGGCCACCAGGTTTGCACACATCTCAGGAGGGATTTTGTCCCACTCCTCTTTGCAGATCTTCTCCAAGTCATTAAGGTTTCGAGGCTGACGTTTGGCAACTCAAACCTTCAGCTCCCTCCACAGATTTTCTATGGGATTAAGGTCTGGAGTCTGGCTAGGCCACTCCAGGACCTTAATGTGCTTCTTCTTGAGCCACTCCTTTGTTGCCTTGGCCGTGTGTTTTGGGTCATTGTCATGCTGGAATACCCATCCACTACCCATTTTCAATGCCCTGGCTGAGGGAAGGAGGTTCTCACCCAAGATTTGACGGTACATGGCCCCGTCCATCGTCCCTTTGATGCGGTGAAGTTGTCCTGTACCCTTAGCAGAAAAACACCACCAAAGCATAATGTTTCCACCTCCATGTTTGACTGTGGGGATGGTGTTCTTGGGGTCATAGTCAGCATTCCTCCTCCTCCAAACACGGCGAGTTGAGTTGATGCCAAAGAGCTCCATTTTGGTCTCATCTGACCACAACACTTTCACCCAGTTCTCCTCTGAATCATTCAGATGTTAATTGGCAAACTTCAGACGGGCCTGTATATGTGCTTTCTTGAACAGGGGGACCTTGCGGGCGCTGCAGGATTTCAGTCCTTCACTGCGTAGTGTGTTACCAATTGTTTTCTTGGTGACTATGGTCCCAGCTGCCTTGAGATCATTGACAAGATCCTCCCGTGTAGTTCTGGGCTGATTCTTCATCGTTCTCATGATCATTGCAACTCCACGAGGTGAGATCTTGCATGGAGCCCCAGGCCGTGGGAAATTGACAGTTCTTTTGTGTTTCTTCCATTTGCGAATAATCGCACCAACTGTTGTCACCTTCTCACCAAGCTGCTTGGCGATGGTCTTGTAGCCCATTCCAGCCTTGTGTAGGTCTACAATCTTGTCCCTGACATCCTTGGAGAGTTATTTGGTCTTGGCCATGGTGGAGAGTTTGGAATCTGATTGATTGATTGCTTCTGTGGACAGGTGTCTTTTGTACTGATAACAAACTGAGATTAGGAGCACTCCCTTTAAGAGTGTGCTCCTAATCTCAGCTCGTTACATGTATAAAAGACACCTGGGAGCCAGAAATCTTTCTGATTGAGAGGGGGTCAAATACTTATTTCCCTCATTAAAATGCAAATCAATTTATAACATTTTTGACATGCGTTTTTCTGGATTTTTTGTTGTTGTTCTATCTCTCACTGTTCAAATAAACCTACCATTAAAATTATAGACTGATAATGTCTTTGTCAGTGGGCAAACGTACAAAATCAGCAGGGGATCAAATACTTTTTTCCCTCACTGTACATATGAAGTGAGTAAAACAGTATGTAAACGTAACTAAAGTGACCAGTGAACATTGGGGGATTTTACTCCTACATACTGTAGGAATAAAATGTGCCTAAATGCTCTATCTGCAATGGATGTTTGTTGAGCTTACTCAACCAACCATATGGAAGCATTGATGATATCTGAGAGCAGGTCTCTTTAGCTGAACGAGCTGATGGCTGATGGCTGAACTGGCCTTGCAACACATCTTCCTCCTGCTCAAAGATAAGAAGCACCATGTGCAAAATGCTTTACAGACCCATCGACAGAGCAGTCACAACATTCAGCATGCATGATAGATGTTAACAAAGGGCATGACCAACCAATGACATTCCCATTCTTGCTCTTTTTCAACCAAATGGTTTATGTCATCATAGGTCTGTCAGACCCATGTGGTAAAGTCATTATAGCTGTCACTATTCTTGACCTGTGAACCCTAGTGTCTGGTCACCACAGCTGACCCCTCGGGCCGGGACGACACTTCCCCCTGGTCCTCCAGGTCACGCTTAAAGGGAAATCTGCAGTTCAAACAATAACAAAGAGGTCACCTGACCGCTCTTTTTGGTAAACAGCTGAGGGATAGTGCTAGAGAAATGTAATTACTATCAAATTCATAGAAAGAGCTATGGATGCAAGGACTGACCATCCATGATATTACAATTATAGTTTTAACCATGTTTTAAAGCTATACAATGCTTGTTTACAATTGGATTGTTTACAAACAATGGAGTAAAGCATGCTTGTATTTTGTGTTCTGATGGGGTGCGACAGTTGAACTAAGATCCTGCGGCATTAATAAGTGATATTCTTCAAGATTCAATTGGAAATATAATTCAGTTCAAAGACCAAAAATGGATGTATCAATTGCAGATTTCCCCTTTAAATTAATCAGATCAGCACTACCACTCTGAGACACTTTTTGAATAGGGGCCCTGGTCCATAATAGTAATTCATGGTCTCTCAGATGGGGTTTTGTAACTTTGGTCCTTGCATAATGACGAACCTGGTAGAGGCCGCAGTCAGTTGTTTCAAGCTCTCCTTTTACCTCTTCAACTAGGACTAGACATTGAGGCCATTTTTCTGAAAGGATGTCACTTCACTTGCAAATGTGAATACCTGCATTTTCTAATTTAAGTATACCGGTAGCCTACTAATGCATCTAAAAGAAAAACCATGCAAAGTGTACATTGTTGTTCTCCCACAAATATTTACTTTAGAGCGGTAACCAGTGTGATACTGATATATGAATGTGATTTGATCATTTTTCATTGAGAAACTGTACACTACCCCTGGACTCAATTAAATCACACTAATGATGGGCATGTAGAGGTCCACAAAATTAGCTAGCCATTAGGAGCCAGTAATTTGGGTAACATAACTGACAGGCAGTATCTCCAATAGAGATTACTAAAAATAGATATTTGGCTCAATTATTGGATGAAACACAGACCGGCCTCTAACTGTTAAACCAATGAAAAATATCTATAGTTGATTTACAGTCATATTGACCAATGATAAATCAGTATGCTATTTTGGGTGTATCTTTCAAGAATGAGGGGTGGGATTTTCGAGATCATTCAATACCTCACTGATTTACTCTGTCGGCGTGCGTTTGAGGGACGGGCGGTTGGAGTACAAGGAGTTGCAGGGCGATAGTGCACCACAAACGCTTATTTCGGGAGGAGTCATTCTAGCAAAATAATACTTAAAAACAACAAAAGGAATCCCAGCCACGACTTAATACAGAAACTTCTCTCCGACTGCTGCATGTATACGCCTGTTTTGGCATCCCGCAAGTGACGGAATCAAGGTGTTGGTGATAGCTAGCTGCTTGCTAACATCCCCCTTTCACATAGCGTAGCATCATTAGCTTTGAAGCACATTGCAACTAGACCGCCGCGGTCCCCTTCAACGCAGGACAGCACCTTGCTAGTGCCGTTGCACGCTAGCTAACAAAGGTATCGTCGATAGTTTGCTAACGTTAGCTAGGTAGTGAGCTAACGTGAAGTTGACCGCTGGAGACGCTAGCTATTCTTCGTTGATCACATAATCAACACCCAACTCTCCAACCACTTCACCCCTCTCCCTCCACCTCCCGAAACACTGGAAATCCACAAGCGGCCGGAGAGCGGCGACGGGCCAGCGGCAGAGAAGCTGGGGGTGGTACCGGAACCGCACGGAGTCGTAACGGCTCAATCAGAGAAGCCCAGTCGTGGGGACCTACCGACGACTATGGACGGGCTGGCGGTGGAGGTTCGCGGCTCGAACGGGGCCTTCTACAAGGTAAAGGAAATTGTGCAGTCATTAACGTTAGCTAACGATGCAAAACTGGTGAACAATTGCAAATATAGATGTCGACGAATAGTTTTGTTCTAACTAACTAGCAAATTAACGTTGCGAACTCTAACTAGCTGGCAGATTTAGTTAGCAGCATCATTCATTGAGAGCAGGCCCAACAAATGATAAGGTCGCTATTCCTAGATTTGTTTTTTCTCCATCAGGTCACGGTTGGGCATTGTGGGGCACGCTTGTCGTGGCCTGGTTTTGGTCAATTCCAAATGTCTATTTTACACTTTGTTGTCTGTCTTGAGCTGGTCAGCTAACCATCTTCTCGGGGCACTCCTTTCTTTGGAAGGAGTTGCTTGCTAATCACTTACATTTGCTAGCGAGAATGAAGGCGGTGGAGGGATGCCATATCTAAAATGTTATGAAATATCGACCTGTTTGTTTACTGTCCCGGATAACACCTAGCAAAGTAAGTAGCCGAACTAATGAACTGCATTACGTCAGTCTTTCTAAGCAGGTAACTACCATAAGCTGTCAAATTATTTACACTTTCACACTGTTTCCTAACACGTTTTTCTTTTTCTTCCTCCAATTCTGAGTCAGCTGAGGCTGAGTCAGCCTGCGTTATTACAGTGAATCCAATGATTTACATTGATAGTCAGTCATATCATGGCTGTTTCCAAACCTAATCATCACACTACAATGACATAATAACCAAATTTAGGTGACTCAACATAAGGGAGTCAATGCATTCATTTCATTATGAGGATGTCAGTTATTTTAATCATTGAGTCAAATGACTTCATTCAACGTCAGTAAGGCAGAAGTCCTTGTGTGAATGGTTGCTGTAGTTTAATAAAACAGACAGTTTGTGTACTGGCAGACAGTTGAATAGGCCCTAGTGATTTGCTATGGGTTGAATGGCCTAGTTCAGCCTGCCTGACAGTGACTGAAGAACTGAAGCAGGTGTTGGTGGAACAGGTGATCCTAATCGCAGCACTACGCCAGTCCAAAACAGCCTCCCCCTCCCACGCTCTCCTCTCCCTCTTTTTCTTCCCATCTTTCCATTGTATCATTCTCCACCTCTTTTCCTTTTCTTTCGTTTAGCCCTCTTTCTGTCCCTCAACATCTCACTCACACTCTCTAGCTCTGCTCTCCCTTCGTGGTTTAGACCCCTCAAACTCAACTCTGGACCTCGAATGCAGTTCAACTGCATTTTTTTCATTGTTCCCCTCTAATTAGGGACAGATTTAGACCTGGGATACCAGGTGGGTGCAATTTAATTATCAGGTAGAACAGAACCAGCTGGCTCCGGATCTCACAGGGTAGGAGTTGAATACCCCTGGTTTGGACTATGTTTACTCTCCTCTCCCTCACACCTGTTCTGTTTTACTGTGTGACAGTTTGGCTCTACGGCCTGAAAGTGCACAATCCATTCACCCTTACAGTGCCTTCAGAAAGTATTCACACCCCTTGACTTTTTTCACATTTTGTTGCATTACAGCCTGCATTTTTTTTTTTTGTCACTGGTCTACACACTACCATGATGTCAAAGTGGAATTCTGTTTTTTGAAATGTTTACTAATTCATTAAAAATGAAAAGCTGAAATGTCTTGTCAATACATATTCAATGCGTTTATGGCAAGCCTAAATAAGTTCAGGAGTAAAAATGTGCATAAGTCAGAAGTTGCATGGACTCACACTGTGTGCAGTAAGTGTTTAACATGATTTTTGAATGACTACCTCATCTCTGTACCCCACACATACAATTATCTGTAAGGTCCCTCAGTCGAGCAGTGAATTTAAAACAGATTCAACGACAAAGACCGGCGAGGTTTTCCAATGCTTCGCAAAGAAGGGCACCATTGGTAGATGGGTAAAAAAAAGCCAGACATTGAATATCCCTTTGAGCATGGTTAAGTTATTAATTACACTTTGGATGGTGTATCAATAAACCCAGTCACTACAAAGATACAGGCTTCCTTCCTAACTCAGTTACCAGAAAGGAATGAGCTGTTGCTCAGGGATTTCACCATGAGGCCAGTGGTGACTTTAAAGCAGGTACAAAGTTTAATGGCTGTGATAGAAAAAAACTGAGAATGGATCAACAACATTCTAGTTACTCTACAATACTAACCGAATTGACAGTGAAAAGGAAGCCTGTATAGAATAAAAATATTCCAAAACATGCATCCTGTTTGCAACAAGGCACTAAAGTAATACTGCAAATATTGGAAAGCAATTAACACTTTGTATTCAGGAAAAAAAGTTATGTTTGGGGCAAATCCAACACATTACTGAGTATTACACTCCATATTTTCTAGCATAGTGCTGGCTGCATCATGTTATTGGTGTGATTGTTAAGGACTGGGGATTTTTTCAGGATAAAATAGAAATGGAATGGAGTTAAGCACAGGCAAAATCCTATTGGGAAAACCTGTTTCAGTCTGCTTTCCACCAGACACTGGGAGATTAATTCACCTTTCAGCAGGACAGTAACCTAAAACACAAGGCCAATCTACACTGGCGTTGCCTACCAAGAAGACAGTGAATGTTCCTTGTTACAGTTTTGACTTAAATCTACATACATCTATGGCAAGACCTGAAAATGGTTGTCTAGCAATGATCATTTTTTTGAAAAGAATAATGGGCAAATATTTGCAAAATCCAGGTGTGGAAAGCGCTTAGACTTAACCAGAAATATTCTCAGCTGTAATCACTGCCAAAGGTGCTTCTACAAAGTATTGACTCAGATGTGAATGAGATTTGTTTCATTTTCAAATCATTTTCACTTTGTCATTATGGGTTATTGTGTGTAGATGGGTGAGTAAAACATATATTTAATCCATTTTGAATTCAGCCTGTAACACAAATGTGGAATAAGTCAAGGGGTATGAATACTTTCTGAAGGCACTGTATTACTCTCCTCTCACTCACTCTTGTTCATAACAGAGTGCGTCTTCGACAGTTTGCAAAGCTGTCATCAAGGCAAAGGGTGGTTATTTGAAGAACCTCAAATATAACATACATTTTGATTTGTTTAACTCTTTTTTTTTGGGTTACTACATGATTCCATATGTGTTATTTCATTGTTTTGATGTCTTCACTATTCTACAATGTAGAACATAGTAAAAATAAAGAAACCCTTGAGTGAGTAGGTGTTCTAAAACTTTTGACCGTGTGTGTGAGAGATATATATATATATATATATATATATACACACACACACACAGTCAAAAGTTTTAGAACACCTACTCATTCAAGGGTTTCATTATTTTTACTATTTTCTTCATTACACATATACAGTGGGGAGAACAAGTATTTGATACACTGCTGATTTTGCAGGTTTTCTTACGTACAAAGCATGTAGAGGTCTGTAATTTTTATCATAGGTACACTTCAATTGTGAGAGACGGAATCTAAAACAAAAATCCAGAAAATCACATTGTATAATTTTTAAGTAATTAATTTGCATTTTATTGCATGACATAAGTATTTGATACATCAGAAAAGCAGAACTTAATATTTGGTACAGAAACCTTTGTTTGCAATTACAGAGATCATACGTTTCCTGTAGGTCTTGACCAGGTTTGCGCACACTGCAGCAGGGATTTTGGCCCACTCCTCCATACAGACCTTCTCCAGATCCTTCAGGTTTCGGGGCTGTCGCTGGGCAATACAGACTTTCAGCTCCCTCCAAAGATTTTCTATTGGGTTCAGGTCTGGAGACTGGCTAGGCCACTCCAGGACCTTGAGATGCTTCTTACGGAGCCACTCCTTAGTTGCCCTGGCTGTTTGTTTCGGGTCGTTGTCATGCTGGAAGACCCAGCCACAACCCATCTTCAATGCTCTTTCTGAGGGAAGGAGGTTGTTGGCCAAGATCTCGCGGTACATGGCCCCATCCATCCTCCCCTCAATACGGTGCAGTCGTCCTGTCCCCTTTGCAGAAAAGCATCCCCAAAGAATGATGTTTCCACCTCCATGCTTCACGGTTGGGATGGTGTTCTTGGGGTTTTACTCATCCTTCTTCTTCCTCCAAACACGGCGAGTGGAGTTTAGACCAAAAAGCTCTTTTGTCTCATCAGACCACATGACCTTCTCCCATTCCTCTTCTGGATCATCCAGATGGTCATTGGCAAACTTCAGACGGGCCTGGACATGCGCTGGCTTGTGCAGGGGGACCTTGCGTGCGCTGCAGGATTTTAATCCATGACGGCGTAGTGTGTTACTAATGGTTTTCTTTGAGACTGTGGTCCCAGCTCTCTTCAGGTCATTGACCAGGTCCTGCCATGTATTTCTGGGCTGATCCCTCACCTTCTTCATGATCATTGATGCCCCACGAGGTGAGATCTTGCATGGAGCCTCAGACCGAGGGTGATTGACCATCATCTTGAACTTCTTCCATTTTCTAATAATTGCGCCAACAGTTGTTGCCTTCTCACCAAGCTGCTTGCCTATTGTCCTGTAGCCCATCCCAGCCTTGTGCAGGTATACAATTTTATCCCTGATGTCCTTACACAGCTCTCTGGTCTTGGCCATTGTGGAGAGGTTGGAGTCTGTTTGTGTGTGGACAGGTGTCTTTTATACAGGTAACGAGTTCAAACGGGTGCAGTTAATACAGGTAATGAGTGGAGAACAGGAGGGCTTCTTAAAGAAAAACTAACAGGTCTGTGAGCTGGAATTCTTACTGGTTGGTAGGTGATCAAATACTTATGTCATGCATTAAAATACAAATTAATTACTTACAAATCATACAATGTGATTTTCTGGATTTTTGTTTTAGATTCTGTCTCTCACAGTTGAAGTGTACCTATGATAATAAATTACAGACCTCTACATGCTTTGTAAGTAGGAAAACCTGCAAAATCGGCAGTGTATAAAATACTTGTTCTCCCCACTGTGTGTGTGTGTTATATATATATTAATATATAAATAACACACACACAGTTACTCTGGTTTTACAATTTATAGGTATGTGTTTGGGTAAAAATATTTTTTTTGTTTTATTCTATAAACTACTGACAACATTTCTTCCAAATTCCAAATAAAAATATTGTCATTTGGAGCATTTATTTGCAGAAAATGAAAACTGGTCAAAATAACAAAAAAGATGCAGTGTTGTCAGACCTCGAATAATGCAAAGAAAATATGTTTTTTTAAACAACATAATACTAATGTTTTAACTTAGGAAGAGTTCAGAAATCAATATTTGTTGGAATAACCCGGATTTTCAATCACAGCTTTCATGCGTCTTGGCATGCTGGGTGACTTTATGCCACTCCTGTCGCAAAAATTCAAGCAGCTCAGCATTGCTTGATGGCTTGTGACCATCCATCTTCCTCTTGATCACATTCCAGAAGTTTTCAATGGGGTTCAGGTCTGGAGATTGGGCTGGCCATGACAGGGTCTTTATCTGGTGGTCCTCCATCTACACCTTGATTAATCTGGCTGTGTGGCATGGCACATTGTCCTGCTGGAAAAACCAATCCTCAGAGTTGGGGAACAATGTCAGAGCAAAAGAAAGCAAGGTTTCTTCCAGGACAACCTTGTACGTGGCTTGATTCATGCGTCCTTCACAAACACAAATCTGCCCGATTCCAGCCTTGCTGAAGCACCCCCAGATCATCACCGATCCTACACCAAATTTCACAGTGGGTGCGAGACACTGTGGCTTGTAGGCCTCTCCAGGTCTCCGTCTAACCATTAGACGACCAGGTGTTGGGCAAAGCTGAAAATTGGACTCAACAGAGAACATGTCCTCTACGGTCCAATCCTCATGGTCTTTTGCAAACCTCAGCCTGGCTCTCCTTTTGCTTCTCATTGATGAAGGGCTTTTTTCTAGCTTTACACGACTTCAGCCCTGCCCCTAGGAGCCTGTTTTGAACCGTCCTCACCGTGCACTTCACCCCAGCTGCCGTTTGCCATTCTTTTTGTAGGTGACTTGATGTCATCCTACGGTTGTTGAGTGACATTCGAATGAGTTGGCGGTCATCCCGGTCAGTAGAGTCGTTTTCGCCATCTGCCGGTCTGTAGCTTTGTTGTCCCCAATGTCTGCTGCTTGACCTTGTTCTTATGAACCGCAGTCTTTGAAATTTTAAGGATGGAAGCAACCTGATGCTCACTGTATCCCTCTGCCAGTAAAGCCAGAATTGAACCCTTCTTTTCCTCACTCAACTTTCCTTTTCAACTCTTTTGGCATGGCCAATAGTTATTTATTGATTAATATTACTTTTGAGGTACTATTAGCACTGTTTGCTATCCAGCTGGTCCTATTGCATGAGGATAGTGATGACCACAGCAGTGGTTTTTTATACTTTTCCTCGTTAAATAAGATTAGGTTCAGGTGATGACCTAATCAGTACCTAATTCAGTAGAATGAGGTGTGCCTGTTTTGGAATTCAACAGACACTGGAATGGCTGTCATACATGTAGAGATGCTGATTTAAGAAACATTTGCAGTGGTCTCTTAATTTTTTCCACAGCTGTGTATGTGTATACATGTGTATGTATATATGTAAATATGTGTGTATGTATATATGTAAATATATGTGTGTGTGTGTGTGTATGTATGTATGTGTGTATATATAGACACATACATACATACATACATACATACATACATACATACATACAGTGGGGGAAAAAAAGTATTTAGTCAGCTACCAATTGTGCAAGTTCTCCCACTTAAAGATGAGAGGCCTGTAATTTTCATCATAGGTACACGTCAACTATGACAGACAAAATTAGAAAAAAAATCCAGAAAATCACATTGTAGGATTTTTAATGAATTTATTTGCAAATTTATGGTGGAAAATAAGTATTTGGTCAATAACAAAAGTTTCTCAATACTTTGTTATATACCCCTTGTTGGCAATGACACAGGTCAAACGTTTTCTGTAAGTCTTCACAAGGTTTTCACACACTATTGCTGGTATTTTGGCCCATTCCTCCATGCAGATCTCCTCTAGAGCAGTGATGTTTTGGGGCTGTCGCTGGGCAACACTGACTTTCAACTCCCTCCAAAGATTTTCTATGGGGTTGAGATCTGGAGACTGGCTAGGCCACTCCAGGACCTTGAAATGCTTCTTACGAAGCCACTCCTTCGTTGCCCGGGCGGTGTGTTTGGGATCATTGTCATGCTGAAAGACCCAGCCACGTTTCATCTTCAATGCCCTTGCTGATGGAAGGAGGTTTTCACTCAAAATCTCACGATACATGGCCCTATTCATTCTTTCCTTTACACGGATCAGTCGTCCTGGTCCCTTTGCAGAAAAACAGCCCCAAAGCATGATGTTTCCACCCCCATGCTTCACAGTAGATGTGGTGTTCTTGGGATGCAACTCAGCATTATTTGTCCTCCAAACACGACGAGTTGAGTTTTTACCAAAAAGTTATATTTTGGTTTCATCTGACCATATGACATTCTCCCAATCCTCTTCTGGATCATCCAATGCACTTTAGCAAACTTCATTTACATTTTAGTCATTTAGCAGACGCTCTTATCCAGAGCGACTTACAGTTAGTGAGTGCATACATTATTTTTTTTTCATACTGGCCCCCCGTGGGAATCGAACCCACAACCCTGGCGTTGCAAACGCCATGCTCTACCAACTGAGCTACATCCCTGCTGGCCATTCCCTCCCCTACCCTGGACGACGCTGGGCCAATTGTGCGCCGCCCCATGGGTCTCCCAGTCACGGCCAGCTACGACAGAGCCTGGATTCGAACCAGGATCTCTAGTGGCACAGCTAGCACTGCGATGCAGTGCCTTAGACCACTGCGCCGCTCGGGAGATACGAGTGGCATCTTCAGACGGGCCTGGACATGTACTGGCTTAAGCAGGGGGACACATCTGGCACTGCAGGATTTGAGTCCCTGGCGGCGTAGTGTGTTACTGATGGTAGGCTTTGTTACTTTGGTCCCTGCTCTCTGCAGGTCATTCACTAGGTCCCCCCGTGTGGTTCTGGGATTTTTTTGTGATAATTTTGACCCCACGGGGTGAGATCTTGCGTGGAGCCCCAGATCGAGGGAGATTATCAGTGGTCTTGTATGTCTTCCATTTCCAAATAATTGCTCCCACAGTTGATTTCTTCAAACCAAGTTGCTTACCTATTGCAGATTCAGTCTTCCCAGCCTGGTGCAGGTCTACAATTTTGTTTCTGGTGTCCTTTGACAGCTCTTTGGTCTTGGCCATAGTGGAGTTTGGAGTGTGACTGTTTGAGGTTGTGGACAGGTGTCTTTTATACTGATAACAAGTTCAAACAGGTGCCATTAATACAGGTAACGAGTGGAGGACAGAGGAGCCTCTTAAAGAAGAAGTTACAGGTCTGTGAGAGCCAGAAATCTTGCTTGTTTGTAGGTGACCAAATACTTATTTTCCACCATAATTTGCAAATAAATTCATTAAAAATCCTACAATGTGATTTTCTGGAGAGAAAAAAATTCTCATATTGTCTGTCATAGTTGACGTGTACCTATGATGAAAATTACAGGCCTCTCTCATCTTTTTAAGTGGGAGAACTTGCACAATTGGTGGCTGACTAAATACTTTTTTTTCCCACTGTACGTACGTACGTACGTACGTACGTACATGTATACGTGTGTGTCTGTATATATATATAGATATAGATATAGATATAGATATAGATATAGATATATATAGATAGCTCAAAAAAATAAAGGGAACACTAAAATAACACATCCTAGATCTGAGTGAATGAAATAATCTTATTAAATACTTTTTTCTTTACATAGTTGAATGTGCTGACAACAAAATCACACAAAAATGTTCAATGGAAATCAAATGTATCAACCCATGGAGATCTGGATTTGGAGTCACCCTCAAAATTAAAGTGGAAAACCACACTACAGGCTGATCCAACTTTGAAGTAATGTCCTTAAAACAATTCAAAATGAGGCTCAGTAGTGTGTTGCCTCCACGTGCCTGTATGACCTCCCTACAACGCCTGGGCATGCTCCTGATGAGGTGGCGGATGGTCTCCTGAGGGATCTCCTCCCAGACCTGGACTAAAGCATCCGCCAACTCCTGGACAGTCCGTGGTGCAACGTGGCGTTGGTGGATGGAGCGAGACATGATGTCCCAGATGTGCTCAATTGGATTCAGGTCTGGGGAGCGGGCGGGCCAGTCCATAGCATCAATGCCTTCCTCTTGCAGGAACTGCTGACACACTCCAGCCACATGAGGTCTAGCATTGTCTTGCATTAGGAGGAACCCAGTGCCAACCGCACCAGCATATGGTCTCACAAGGGGTCTGAGGATCTCATCTCGGTACCTAATGGCAGTCAGGCTACCTCTGGCGAGCACATGGAGGGCTGTGCGGCCCCCCCAAAGAAATGCCACCCCACACCATGACTGACCCACCGCCAAACCGGTCATGCTGGAGGATGTTGCAGGCAGCAGAACGTTCTCCACGGCGTCTCCAGACTCTGTCAAGTCTGTCACATGTGCTCAGTGTGAACCTGCTTTCATCTGTGAAGAGCACAAGGCACCAGTGGCGAATTTGCCAATCTTGGTGTTCTCTGGCAAATGCCAAACGTCCTGCACGGTGTTGAGCTGTAAGCACAACCCCACCTGTGGACGTCGGGCCCTCATACCACCCTCATGGAGTCTGTTTCTGACCGTTTTGCAATTACAGAGATCATACGTTTCCTGTAGGTCTTGACCAGGTTTGCACACACTGCAGCAGGGATTTTGGCCCACTCCTCCATACAGACCTTCTCCAGATCCTTCAGGTTTCGGGGCTGTCGCTGGGCAATACGGACTTTCAGCTCCCTCCAAAGATTTTCTATTGGGTTCAGGTCTGGAGACTGGCTAGGCCACTCCAGGACCTTGACATGTTTCTTACGGAGCCACTCCTTAGTTGCCCTGGCTGTGTGTTTCGGGTCATTGTCATGCTGGAAGACCCAGCCACGACCCATCTTCAATGCTCTTATTGAGGGAAGGAGGTTGTTGGCCAAGATCTCGCAATACATGGCCCCATCCATCCTCCCCTCAATACGGTGCAGTCGTCCTGTCCCCTTTGCAGAAAAGCATCCCAAAAGAATGATGTTTCCACCTCCATGCTTCACAGTTGGGATGGTGTTCTTGGGGTTTTACTCATCCTTCTTCCTCCAAACATGGCGAGTGGAGTTTAGACCAAAAAGCTCTATTTTTGTCTCATCAGACCACATGACCTTCTCCCATTCCTCTTCTGGATCATCCAGATGGTCATTGGCAAACTTCAGACGGGCCTGGACATGCGCTGGCTTGAGCAGGGGGACCTTGCGTGCGCTGCAGGATTTTAATCCATGACGGCGTAGTGTGTTACTAATGGTTTTCTTTGAGACTGTGGTCCCAGCTCTCTTCAGGTCATTGACCAGGTCCTGCCATGTATTTCTGGGCTGATCCCTCACCTTCCTCATGATCATTGATGCCCCACGAGGTGAGATCTTGCATGGAGCCCCAGACCGAGGGTGATTGACCGTCATCTTGAACTTCTTCCATTTTCTAATAATTGCGCCAACAGTTGTTGCCTTTTCACCAAGCTGCTTGCCTATTGTCCTGTAGCCCATCCCAGCCTTGTGCAGGTCTACAATTTTTTTACATTTACGTCATTTAGCAGACGCTCTTATCCAGAGCGACTTACAAATTGGTGCATTCACCTTTTTTTTTTGGGGGGGGGGGGGGGGGGATTACTTTATCTTATCCCAGGTGTTCCTTAAAGAGGTGGGGTTTCAAATGTCTCCGGAAGGTGGTGAGTGACTCCGCTGTCCTGGCGTCGTGAGGGAGCTTGTTCCACCATTGGGGTGCCAGAGCAGCGAACAGTTTTGACTGGGCTGAGCGGGAACTGTGCTTCAGCAGAGGTAGGGGATATCCCTGGTCTCTGGTCTTGGCCATTGTGGAGAGGTTGGCGTCTGTGTGTGGACAGGTGTCTTTTATACAGGTAACGAGTTCAAACAGGTGCAGTTAATACAGGTAATGAGTGGAGAACAGGAGGGCTTCTTAAAGAAAAAGCTAACAGGTCTGTGAGAGCCGGAATTCTTACTGGTTGGTAGGTGATCAAATACTTATGTCATGCAATAAAATGCTAATTAATTACTTACAAATCATACAATGTGATTTTCTGGATTTTTGTTTTAGATTCTCTCACAGTTGAAGTGTACCTATGATAAAAATTACAGACCTCTACATGCTTTGTAAGTAGGAAAGCCTGCAAAATCGGCAGTGTATCAAATATTTGTTCTCCCCACTGTATGTATATGTGTGTATAGATAGACAGATATATACATACAGTGAGTGGGAAAAAAAAGTATTTGATCCCCTGCTGATTTTGTACGTTTGCCCACTGACAAAGAAATGATCAGTCTTAGAGACAGTTTATTCTGTCTCTCACTGTTTACTTGAACAGTGAGAGACAGAATAACAACAAAAAAGTCCAGAAAAACGCATGTCAAAAATGTTATAAATTGATTTGCATTTTAATGAGGGAAATAAGTATTTGACCCCCTCTCAATTAGAAAGATTTTTGGCTCCCAGGTGTCTTTTATTCAGGTAACGAGCTGAGATTAGGAGCACACTCTTAAAGGGAGTGCTCCTAATCTCAGTTTGTTCCCTGTATAAAAGACACTAGTCCACAGAAGCAATCAATCAGATTCCAAACTCTCCACCATGGCCAAGACCAAAGAGCTCTCCAAGGATGTCAAGGACAAGATTGTATACCTACACAAGGCTGGAATGGGCTACAAGACCATCGCCAAGCAGCTTGGTGAGAATGTGACAACAGTTGGTGCGATTTATTCGCAAATGGAAGAAACACAAAAGAACTGTCAATCTCCCTCTGCCTGGGGCTCCATGCAAGATCTCACCTCGTGGAGTTGCAATGATCATGAGAACGGTGAGGAATCAGCCCAGAACTACACGGGAGGATCTTGTCAATGATCTCAAGGCAGCTGGGACTATAGTCACCAAGAAAACAATTGGTAACGCACTACGCCGTGAAGGACTGAAATCGTGTAGCGCCCGCAAGGTCCCCTGCTCAAGAAAGCACATATACAGGGACGTCTGTGCTCAAGAAAGCACATATACAGGGATGTCTGAAGTTTGCCAATGAACATCTGAATGATTCAGAGGAGAACTGGAGCTCTTTGGCATCAACTCAACTCGCTGTGTTTGGAGGAGGAGGAATGCTGCCTATGACCCCAAGAACACCATCCCCACCGTCAAACATGGAGGTGGAAACATGCTTTGGGGGTGTTTTTCTGCTAAGGGGACAGGACAACTTCACCGCATCAAAGGGACGATGCACGGGGCCATGTACCGTCAAATCTTGGGTGAGAACCTCCTTCCCTCAGCCAGGGCATTGAAAATGGTTCGTGGATGGGTATTCCAGCTTGACAAGGACCCAAAACACACGGCCAAGGCAACAAAGGAGTGGCTCAAGAAGAAGCACATTAAGGTCCTGGAGTGGCCTAGCCAGTCTCCAGACCTTAATCCCATAGAAATTCTGTGAGGGAGCTGAAGGTTCGAGTTGCCAAACATCAGCCTCGAAACCTTAATGACTTGGAGAAGATCTGCAAAGAGGAGTGGGACAAAATCCCTCCTGAGATGTGTGCAAACCTGGTGGCCAACTACAAGAAACGTCTGACCTCTGTGATTGCCAACAAGGGTTTTGCCACCAGTACTAAGTCATGTTTTGCAGAGGGGTTCAAATACTTATTTCCCTCATTTAAAATGCAAATCAATTTATAAAATTTTTGACATGCGTTTTTCTGGATTTTTTTGTTGTTATTCTGACTCACACTGTTCAAATAAACCTACCATTTAAAATTATATACAGATCATTTCTTTGTCAGTGGGCAAACGTACAAAATCAGCAGGGGAGCAAATACTTTATTCCCTCACTGTGTGTGTGTGTGTGTGTGTGTGTGTGTGTGTGTGTCTCAAGATCTAGATAGTGGACCATACTTATAGGATATTTTTCTGCATTTGTAACATTTTGTGGTGATTTCAGAGGTGACACCATATGTCCTAGAGTGGTGGTGGGTTGTTTTCCTGGGGCCCAGAGTTTTTCCTTATCTGGTAGACTAACCTAACCAGGTAAAATTCAGTTCCCTAGTTGTATGGTATGACACAGTAATAAATCAGCTGTAAAACTGATTTATATGGACTATGATGGGACCAGATATTTTCTAATCAGCTCATATGGTTGAAAAAAACTAGACGACTGCAATTGGACAATAGAACTAACACGGCTGAGCTTGCTTTATGTAGGGCTGCATCGTGTAGGCCTTGCATCTGTAATTAAAAAGTTAACCAACCGCATTCACTTTTTTGACTCATCACATACGCTGCTGCTACGGTTTATCTATCCTGTTGCCTTGTCATTCTATTCCTAGTTATATGTGCATATCTACCTTGTACCTCTGCACATCGACTCAGTACTGGTACCCCATGTATATAGACAAGTTATCGTTACTCATTGTGTTTTTATCACTGTTACTTTTCTATTTCTATTTTATTTCCCTGTATTGTTGGGAAAGGGCCATAAGTAAGCATTTCACTGTTAATCTGCACCTGTTTACGAAGCATGTGATGAATAACATTTTATTTGATTTATTGTGTTGATTTAATGCCAGTCAATCATTTTGGATTGATAAGGTTTAGGTAGCCTAGCCACCCAGAGTTTGAATATAAACCAAATTTGATGACATTTTACATTTTCTCTTAACACAAATAAATAGGCCTATGTTAGACTAGAAATGCATAGCTTAGGCTAGAAATACATGTTACTGCTTTGTTTCCCCTGGCCAGAGGGGATCACAGCGCCTAGGCTTCTCATGGCTACCTGCAGCTGTGTTTATCAGTAGGCTACTGTTGGTCAGACTGAAGCGCAGATTAATTGTGCACGAGTTGACAAATCATGAGGTAAATCAGTCTAAACAACAATGCTTTGTCCCTCTTTTCAACACTTTTGTGTCAATATGTTTTATTAAACCGACTCAAACGTGTCGGCAAATGCCAGCTCACCACACTTGCTGGCGTTCCTGCTGTGCTAATGTCTGCAACATGGAAATCGCCACATGAAGCTACAAATGTGCTCCCGAGTGGCGCAGCGGTCTAAGGCACTGCATCTCAGTGAGTCATAATAACCCATACACCAGCGATCATCATGGGGCCAAATTTGTGGACTGCAAATTAACCGCAAGAAGCCCAAATGGATATTATATTTGACTAAAACATAATTTCAAACCTTGCTTACTTTTGTATACGATCACATATACTATATATACAAATGTCTGTGGACATCCCTTCAAATTAGTGTATTTGGCTATTTCAGCCACACCTGTTGCTGACGGGTGTATACAATCGAGCACACAGCCATGCAATATCCATAGACAAACATTGGCAGTAGGATGGCCTTACTGAAGAGATCAGTGACTTTCAACGTGCCACATTTCAAACAAGTACGTTCGTCAAATTTATGCCCTGCTAGAGCTGCCCCGGTCAACTGTAAATGCTGTTATTGTGAAGTGGAAATATCTAGGAGCAACAACGGAACCAGCCGCAAATGGTAGGCCACAGAAGCTCACAGAACGGGACCGCCGAGTGCTGAAGCGCTTAGCGCGTAAAAATCGGCTGTCCTCTGCAACACTCGCTACCGAGTTTCAAACTGCCTCTTGAAGCAACGTCCGCACTAGAAATGTTCGTCTTGAGCTTCATGAAATGGGTTTCCATAGTCGAGCAGCCGCTCACAAGCCTAAGATCACCATGCGCAATGCCAAGCGTCGGCTTGAGTGGCGTAAAGCTCGCTGCTATTAGACTCCTGATCATTAGAAACGCGTGATGAATCACGCTTCACCATATGGCAGTCCGACGGACGAATCTGGGTTTGGCGGATGCCAGGAGATCGCTACCGGCCCGAATGCATAGTGCCAACTGTAAAGTTTGGAGGAGGAATAATGGTCTCGGGCTGTTTTTCATGGTTCAGGCTCCTTAGTTCCAGTGAAGGGAAATCTAAACGCTACAGCATACGACATTCTAGACCATTCTGTGTTTCCAACTTTGTGGCAACAGTTTGGGGAAGTCCTTTTCCTGTTTGATCATGACAATGCCCCCTTGCACAAAGCGAGGTCCATACAGAAATGGTTTGTCGATTTGGTGTGGAATAACTTGACTGGCCTGCACAGAGCCCTGACCTCAACCCCATCTTTGGGATGAATTGGAACGCAGACTGCGAGCCAGGCCTAATCGCCCAACATCCGTGCCCAACACATCTCTGTATTATGCGTGGGAATACTTTGGAATAGATTTCCAAAATTAAAATCACTTGGAGCTGATTTGCTGGTATTTGTAGTCTAATGTCCAACAATTTTAAAACGACATTTAAAAAATGTGGCTCAGAAAACTTAGGGGCGGGGGCAGATACAATCACTGGTGCTTACAGGGATGTCCTCCTATACCAGGGGTCTGTAGAGTAGACCTAGCACCCCCACGCCAGAGGGATCCCTCTTTGGGCATGTGGGGAGTTCTACTCCTCCTGGAACAGCACATGGCCGGAGAAGGAGTGACATCACTGTACTGCCGTAAATGACACTCTAACCTCTGTGCTCTCATTCCAAAAGGCTTGCCTGACCTTTGACCTGGTAGTAGAAAGGAACACCATTCATTACATCACATCTTCAGTAAGCCCTGTATTGGAATATACTATGCCCGTCTCCTTTCATCAACCAAGGCAGCTATCCAAAGTGTTTTTTTCCCCTCTGGTAACTACTAGCTAGCCAGTCTCTGTGGCCCTAGCCTGCAGTTTGAGTGACAGCGACACAGACTGGCAGTTTGTGTTGTGACACAGTGCAATTCAATCTGGTGTCCCTCTGGCTCTTTGGCCATCTCTCTCTCTCGCTGGGGCCTAAGAAAGTGGCAGCAGTAGAACTTAAGTTATTGTTAGATTGTGTAGTATAAGGGAATCTGATGCTATAAGTTGTGTAAGGGCTTTCAGTATGCATAACGCCTGCGCTGCCTCCCGAAAGGTTTCCTTTCCAGCAGGTGAAACTCCCTCTGCTCTGACACTCACTCTCCCTCTCAGTCCCTAATGCAACTGCCAGCGACCTCTCGGCCCCATATAAGGCAGTGTAACACTGAGCACCGTGGCAACCTCCCTCCACTACTCCCAGCTTCATGGAGTTTATGGCACTGTGTGATAGATCTGTAGAGGGCTGACTGATGGATGGGCAACAGATTTGGAGGAGGAGTCTCTTGTAATGGCGGCTGATCCAGTATCACCCAACTTTCTCCAGTAGGGACGGTCGTGTCGTGCACTTTTGATTTGCGTGCCTGCTTGTGTAGTCGTACCTAGAGCTGTGACAGTCATGGATTTTTGGATAATGGTAATTGGCCAGCCAAATTACTGCGGTCACCGTAATAACCGTTCGAACAGCAAAAAAAAAATGTACTCAAGTTTTCTCCTCCGCTGTTGACTGACTGAATGTACCGCAATAGAAATCAAATGAATAATACAGGCGTCCTCATTCAAGTCAGAGACCATAATGGGTGGACTGGCGACCATTGCAAGTGTACGCATGGGAGCAAAGCAGGAAGTAAATGAAGGACTTGTACCCATCAATGTGCTGTGATTTGTTGATTCAACTCGACTAATATTCCATTGCATGAGCCACATCAGTTAACATCATTTGAATAAACATTCTACATTTCAGCAAGGAGCAACAACGTTTCATCACGTTGAGTCCATGTTACCGCAGAAAAGGACTCAACCGCACTAAAGTCCCGCCGTCCTCTCTTCAGTCAGCTGTTCGTTCCACAGTTATTATTCTTATTAAACGGTTGTGCTGGTTATTTCATTTTCAAGACTCTAAATCCGTAACCATCGGTTACAAGGTTATACAGTAATTTGTGGCAGCCCTAGAGACCTGTTTTTACCTTCTGACGCGCGCACACACATCAAGATTTTTCTCTTCTTTTTCAGGGGTTCATCAAAGATGTCCACGAAGACTCACTCACAATAGTATTTGAAAACAAGTAAGTTGTCATTTACACATGTGACATGTGTAGTAGCCCCTCCTATTTGTGAGTTACTGAGTCACAGGTTTACCCTAGTTAGACATCCACCCACACCAGTCTACCCACGCTGCTCAAGTCATCGCTCTCCCCCAATCCCTTGGCTTAGTTTTACCCTCTTTTCCAGAAATCCCAGTTTCAGCACCACCAGTGCTTGGGACACAGCTGTCCACAAAACCCTTTATAATCCCCCCCTTCTGTAACTCCTACCCTGTCCCGTCTCACTAACCAAACCCCTTAATATTTGACCTCAAAATAGGGTTAACCTGTGTACAGTTCAACCCTATTTTATCTGCTAGCTAGCCTATATTAAAATGATGAACCCCCTCACTTGCAATGAGCGTAAGTATCTTTCTGTGAATTTGAAGCCAGTAGGTTGAACTAAGCCGCAGTCCAGTGAGCTGTTTTTAGACCGAGCTCTCGTTTTTAGTGTTTTATATAAAAGCACACACTACCTACTCAATATCCTAGTTCTGTAATCCACTGACGTTTCTGATTATTCTAATCGTCCAACTTTCACTTTGCCTTTACACACAGTCTTCCTGTAGATAAATTATCTACTGTAGATAAATGATCTACTGTAGATTATAGGGCCGTCTTAAGATCATTACCGTATGTAATTGAGTTACACTCCATTAAGTTTATGGCTTTTCCCCTTGTAAACATTACACCCTTTCTCTTTCCCTGGCCTTCAATGACTGTCGCCAAGAGATTTATCCATCAGCTAGAGAACAGTTTCAGGCAGCAGGACTATTAAGCCTTATGTTAGGGGTTGACACTCTCTTTTGGGTCTGTCTCCTGTGTTCCTTTAGTAGTACTTTCATTACGCTCTATGTTCTGGAAGTTTCTGCTACACACACATGTGCACACACACACACACACCAGGGCTCTACACATACTTTTAATTATTTTTATTTTACAAGGAGCACATGTGTGCCTAACTTAAAATGGAGGCGCACACAAAGTCATTTAGGAGCACAATGAAAAATATTTGAGGTATTAAAGCTAAATTAAATTCCAGGTCGCACAGCAAAATATTTAGCTGCATATGCGAGTAAAATGGTGGCACTGTAGAGCCCTACACACACACACACACACACACACACACACACACACACACACACACACACACACACACACACACACACACACACACACATGCAAATGCACAGGCAAGAGAAAGTGTTGAGGGCAGTGGACCTTTTTCCTGTTATAAATCACATGACCGGAAGAGTATTTCAGCCTATGTTGTAGTCGTTCAGGTTTCTCCTGTTTGTAAGATGGCTGACCGGTGTGTGTTTTGATTGTTTCCCCCCATCACTCTTCCTCTCTTCCTGTCCCCCTAAAAAGCTGGCAACCAGAGAGACAGCTGCCCTTCAGTGACGTGCGGCTGCCGCCCCCAGCCGACTACCACAAGGACATCGGCGAGGGAGAGGAGGTGGAGGTATGCCAGGCTGCTCATGTCCCCAGACCCCTCGATCTTCCTCTAGGGTTGCAAAACTGATTCTAGAAACGTTCCAGGAATCTTCCAACTGGGAGTTCTGGGGTAAATGGGGAATTTGGGGAGCTTTTCTGGAATTGACCGGATCAGGAAACTCCAGGTCCCTATCTGTGATGGTTTCGACCATCTGTTGAGTGAACTACCCACACACCCACCTGTGATGTCATACAGAGTCCCATACCACACATTAATCCATATCACTATCAGCGGTTTAGTTTGCTTCCTCCACCATGATTCCAGTCATAGCTGGAGATTACTACCCATGAGGCAAGTTCCCTGCTAGTCCAGAGTCCTGTTCACCACGTCAGAGTGATGTAGAGACGGATTAACCCCGGTCCAATTTAGACACATGATTAGCCAGCTAGAATTTCATTCATCACAGCAGCACTCATCATCTCCATTGAGACAAACTCATCTCATTGTCCATATAATTTATATATATCTCATACATTTACAATTATCACTTTCCTAGAGGTTTTTCACACCTGAAAGTGAAGTTTATGGTTTATACTACATGATAGAATTCAGAATAAATATTCCTTCTTTTTGTAATTATCCAGTTATTTTCCTCTCATTTTTCTGGTACAATCCTTGCTGTATGCGTCCCTAAGCAGGTATTAGGGTTGCAAAATTACGGTAACTTTCCCAGGTTTTCTAGAAATCTTGTTTGGAAGATTCCTGTATACTGGAGGAAATGGGCCTATACAGGAAATCCAGAATTTCTTGAAAACCAGGGCGATAGTGGAATTTTGCAGCCCTATCAGGTATAAACTACTATCTCTGTCCAGTTTTAATCGTCTCTCCTCCCCAGGTGTACTCCAGGGCCAATGAGCAGGAGCCATGTGGCTGGTGGCTGGCCCGGGTGAGAATGATGAAGGGAGAGGTGAGTCAGGGACTGGTGAGTTAGGGGTCGGGTGCACGCTGGGGCCGGCATGGGGTCGGTAGGGTGGGGGGGGGGGTCACGGTGTGTGTGTGTGTGCATAAGGAGTCGGGTTTCACTCATGTGAACAGAGGCATGAAGAATATCTCTGAATCTCAACCAATACACTTTTTTTTTTTTTTTTTGTAGCTGATTAGTCCTCTTTTCAACATCAAGATCAGTCCAAGTTGAGGCCTCGTGCTGTGTGATTCTAGATACATTTGGATCAGTGATAAAGGCTTGTTGAAATGTCCGCTTTGTTGAGTGATGATTTTAATACTGGCCTTAGAGCATGGCGTGTTCTCTCTCTCTCTCTGTCCCTCTATCTCGCTCTCATTCTCTTGAGTCAGAGGGGACTAGGAAAATGACTTTTTCATTAATCAAATGAATAAAACCTACGCTGGATGAAATTTTACAGAGAAGTGCCATTTCTGATTTTACTTTCCCTAAAAACCCTATAAATCTTCAATGTGATGGAGAAATATATTGTCTGTGTGGAATGAATGAATGCAGTCTAGGTCTGTTTTTGATTTGTTGCTGTGTTTGCTCACTAGGTAGTTGGGTAGTTGTAACTTGTCTAGCCTAACAGAATATAGCCCTACTTATTATTTGGCCCGTATATACATATGGGTCTGTCTATTGATTTAAATACTCTTTAGCACTACTTTTTATTTCTCTTGCCATTTCTCTATCTCTGAGAACCCATGTCTCTATTTTAACCTTTCAGTTCTACGTCATCGAGTACGCAGCCTGCGACGCCACATACAACGAGATTGTCACGCACGAACGCATTCGGCCCGTCAACCCCAACAGCCCCTCCTCCCGAAACTCCTTCCACAAGGTCCCCATCACTGTCCCAGAAGACCTCCGGGACATGTGAGTGTCTGACCCAAGCACTGCACTACACCAGCCTCACCTGTGGTGGCGCTGTAGCACTGCACTCAGACTGAACGTCTACGGAGTATAATGCTTTGACATGAAATGGCAAACCTATTCCGTATTTAGTGCACTACTTTTGACCGGGCCGTCTCGCACAAGCCAAGGCCCGTGCAAGGCTACATATACTTATGTAACGTACTGCACTATGTAGGTAATGGGGTGCTATTTGTGAGGGGGTTCTTGTTAGACAGTTAAAGACATTGAAATGTTGTCATCTGAGCTTTGTCGTGTTTGGGTAGACCAATGGCCTCTCACAGTAGCTACATAATGCACTGTTATTGTTCTGAGTAACTGTGGATTCACCCGGAGTTTATTGTTGGACCAACAGCTGTGCGAACGACAACATCCACAAAGACTTCAGGAAAGCCATCGGAGCCAACTGTATCTTCTACAGTGCAGCCTCACATGAGCTCATCGTGCTGGTCAGTATCACAACAACTGCTGCTTCCAGGGCCTGTATTCACTAAGCTTCTCAGAGTATGAGCGCCGATCTAGGATCAATTTAGCCTTTTTAGATCATTCAGAAGATTATATGGACGGGGGGTGGGCGTCCTGATCCTAGATCAGCACACCTACTCCCAGACACCATTTTTACAAGGCTAGTCTTAGTTTTGTGCTTTTTTTCTGTCTTTCTCACGCTAATTCTCTCTCTTTCTCTAGTCAACGAACGAGACGTCAGTAAAGCGTGCTGCTCTCCTGAGCGACATGCACTTCCGCAGCATCCGTACCAAGCTCATGCTCATGTCCCGCAACGAAGAAGCCACTAAACACCTTGAGGTACAAACACACACCATGTTCATTCAATTAAAATGGAACTTGGAGAGCAGCCATCAACATGTAGAGACATACACATTGACACCCTATTCTCCTTGCCTCCCAGACAAGTAAGCAGCTGGCGTCAGCGTACCAGGAGGAGGTGAAGGTAAGGGAAGACCTGATGGGTCTGGCCATCGGCTCCCATGGTGCCAACATCCAGCAGGCCAGGAAGGTGCCCGGTGTCACCGCCATCGAACTGGAGGAAGAGAGCTGCACCTTCAGGATTTACGGAGAGGTGTGTAGGGGTGTCCTGTTTAGGTGAGAGAGGGGTCTTGCTGTGTGTGTCAGGCTGTCAGTCTTATATAATGGCTTGTTGTTTGCGTTGCAGACCCCAGAAGCAGTGAAGCTGGCCAGGGTTTTCCTGGAGTTCAAAGAAGACTACTTCCAGGTGCCCAGGAACCTCGTAGGTGAGTTGAAGCCCATACCCATGATTTAGTCAATCACTAAATGTCCTTTATATACATGTATTGAGAAACAATGATACAATCTCAATTGTGCCATCTTTTATAATTTCATATAAACCTGACTCGTCCAACTAATCCTTGGTCTCCAAATGGCCCCCCCCCCCCCCCCTCCCAGGCAAAGTGATCGGTAAGAACGGCAAAGTCATCCAGGAGATCGTAGACAAGTCGGGCGTGGTGCGGGTCCGGATCGAGGGGGACAACGACAAAAAGCTTCCCCGGGAGGAGGTAGGCAGGCAGGGGGCTGGCAGAGAAGACACTGCCCCTAAACAAGAGGTGAATGGAGCGCTGCAAACATCAACCGTAACCGTACCAGGGTGTTAGTTACCGCTTCTCTGTTTCCACCGTCGCCACCACGGTCTCCCCTGTACCTCCATCTTCTCTCTGTCAAAATTCTGATAGCTTTCCCAAAATGTCCAGAGATTCTGGTTGGAAGATTTCTGGAATTAGGAGAGAATAAGCAAGAAATCCTTCAACTGGGAATTCTGGAAAACCTGGGATTTTTTGTTGAAAAGTAACCAGAATTTTGCAGGCCATAGGCTCTTTCTGTAGGCTGTCACAGTTGTCCGTCAGTTGTCCCATTTTCAGTTTCCACAGCATGTCTGTACTGTACGTCACCCGTTCTAGGGGGGGTTGGCTGGGGTCTCATCGGTTGGTGTATGTCTGTTCAGTGTGCTTTCTTGTGATTGTGAGCATACATGCAAGTTTCCTAAAATTCATTCAAAGTGAACCCTCTTTCATTCTGCGCATTTCTACATCAACGTAAAGACATCGGTTCTTTGGCCCTTACGAAAATGTACAAATGTCCATGAATAAACATCAGGACTCGCCCACCTCAAATTCACAATGAAGCACTCTCCACTAGTAGCCGTTTGCTCTACAAGTCCACTGTCTTACACCCTCCTTCTCTTCAGGGCATGGTCCCCTTTGTCTTTGTGGGAACTAAGGAGAACATCAGCAACGCCCAGGCCCTACTGGAGTACCATGTTGCCTACCTACAGGTGAGAGACACACAGGCAGAAACCCATACAGAGACCACCAGACAAATAGGCACTCAGCCCTCTCCTCTGCTCATGTCAATCAAACCTCGGGATCCCTCTGTTACAATATCACTGTGGCTTGACAGACCTTTAGATTCCCTACTCAGCCACAGTGCCTTCAGAAAGTATTCACACCTCTTGGCTTTTTCCACATTTTGTTGTTACAGCCTGACTTGTATTAGATTGACATTTCATGATGTCAAAGTTAAATAGTTTTTAGAAATGAATTAAAAATGGAAAGCTGAGATGTCTTCAGTAAATATGTATTCAACCCATTTATGGCAAGTTCAGGAGTAGAAATTTGCTTAATAAGTTGCATGGACTCTGTGCAATAATGTTTAACTATTTTTTTTTTTTTATATATACCTCATCTGTACAGCACATTTACAATTATCTGTTTTAAGGTGCCTCAATCGGGCAGTGAATTTGAAACACAGATTCAACCACAAAGACCAGGGAGGTTTAACAAAGCCTCGCAAAGAAGGGCACCTATTGGTAGATGAGTAAAAAAAAAAAAAGCAGACAATGAATATCCCTTTGAGCATGGTTAAGTTATTAATTGCACTTTGGATTGTGTATCAATACACCCAGTCACTACAAAGATACAGGTGTCCTTACTAACTCAGTTGTCGGAGAGTAAGGAAACCGCTCAGTGATTTCACCATGAGGCCAATGGTGACTTTAAAACAGTTTGAGTTTAATGGCTGTAATGGGAGAGAACTGAGGATGGATCAACAATATTGTAGTTACTCCACAATACTAACCTAAGTGAAAAGGAAGCCTGTACAGAATACAATATTCCAAAACATGCAAAATTGCACTAATTTAAAACTCAATATCCTGAATACAAAGCGTTATATTTGGGGCAAACACAACACATCACTGAGTATCACTCTTCATATTTTCAAGCATGGTGGTGGCTGCATCATCGGTATGCATGTTATCGGCAAGGACTAGGCTGTTTTTAGGATAACTCTATTCCGTTTCTTAAAGCACAGGCAAAATCCTAGAGGAAAACCTGGTTGTCTGCTTTCCAACAGACACTGGGAAACAAATTCACCTTTCAGGAGGACAATAACCTATAACACAAGCCCAAATCTACACTGGGGTTGCTTACCAAGACAACATTGAATGTTCCTGAGTGCCGTAGTTACAGTTTTGACTTAAATCACTTAATCTATGGCAAGACTTCAAAATGGCTCTCTAGCAATGATCAATAACCAACTTGACAAAGCTTGAATAATCTTTAAAAGAATGAGCAAATGTTGTACAATCCAGGTGTGCAAAGCTCTTAGACTTACCCAGAAAGACTCACAGCTGTAATTGCTGCCAAATGTGATTCTAATCTGTATTGATTTAGAGGTGTGAATACTTTAGATTTATGTATTTCATTTTCAATAAATTTGCAAAAATGTCTAAACATGTTTTCACTTTGTCATTATGGGGTATTGTGTGTAGCTTGAATGCAGGCTGTAACACAACAAAATGTGGAGTAAGTCAAGGGGTAAGAATACTTTCTCAAGGCACAGTATATGTTGACCCTATATGCCTCTGAATATCTATAGTAAGCCTAGGCACTGAATGACTGGGCCAATGGCCTGAATATACACGCATGGTAGGCGTTCCCCTTACCCACAGTTGTAGGATCAGATTACCCCCCCCCCCCCCCCCCCCCCAAAAAAAAAAATCATAACCTTAACCATTGAATGGAATGAAATAATATCTGACCCCGAATCAGGAGCAAGTTCTAATCTACCTACTTGTATGGACACGTGGAAACTAGTGTCTTTCAATAGGTGATGTTCTGTGTACTGTACACTCTGTATGGGGACAGAGGGTTAGAGGCCTTTGTGGGGTGGTTGGAGGTGCCAGATCATTCCAGATTGGTCACCTGTCCCCCCTCCATCCGCCCTTCACCTCATGTGAAAGCTGACGAGAGTTGCTTCATTTTGCCCTTACCCTGTGTGCTTTTATAAATAGTCCACTACTCAGGGTTGGCAAGAGGGGGTAGCGGTGTAGATGACAGGATATCTGGAGCCTAGCCTCCTAAAATAACGCCTCCGCCCCTCTACCCATCCTTGCACCCCCTTGCTCCTGGTCAGCCACCTCCCACAAGGGTCAGCTGTTGTTCAGCAGCTGTCGCATTCTGAAGTGACACCCTCAACCACCACACCTAACCAAAAGGCCCCAGTAAACTGCTGTCAGTGTACTTGAGCCACAGCCCTTCCACCCACCCACCCACCCTCTTGCCCATGCTGCAGAACTGAAAAAGAGAGATCAGTGCATTCCAAGATGAAGTTGGTCTAGAAAATGCACGAAAAAACATCTCCAGATACTAAAATTTCACGTCAAACTGTTGCAATATGGCCCATAGAGCTCTCATCAAAAGTAGTGCATTATATAGGGAATGGGGTGCCATTTGGGATGCATCCTAAATCTAGCTGGGTCCTGTATGTTGCAAAATAAATAAAATAAATGGTTGCCAGTCAAGAGCTATGCTTTCTATCTAAATTATATGTTCTAATGAAAAGACTAGGCGGCCAGTACATGGCAATAAACTTTTAGTGTACTATTAACAGAATATATTTACATAAGAATACATATGGGAGCAGTCAGCATAGTACATCAGGACGCACCAGTGCAACGCGTTTTGACTACTAGCCTTCCTCAGGCAGTGTATGTTCTAACGTACTCTGCCCTATAGGAATGTGTCTCGGATGTATGTTCTAACATGTACCTCTCTATCTGTGTCTAACAGGAAGTGGAGCAGCTGCGTCTGGAGCGGCTGCAGATTGACGAGCAGCTCCGTCAGATCGGGGTGGGTTATCGTGCTCCCCCTAGTCGGGTCGGGGGCACCGGTCCTGGGGACAGGGAGAAGGGCTACCTGACGGACGAGAGCAGCAACTCCACCAACCTCCACACCTCCCGCATCTACGGAGGCCGTGGCCGAGGACGTAGGCCCTCCAACAGCCAGTACTCTGGATATGGTGACTAGACTACAACTCCCATGATCCCTCACTGTTTGTCAGATTCTGACCTAACAAACCTGGCATGCTGCTTATCTGAATAATTCAATTGCCTTTCTGCTTAAAGACAGTGAATTGTTAGTGGTTTGGTTCTGTGTGATATTAGTTGTTTGCAGGCTACACTCTTAGTCTTCAGGGACGATGATCTGGTTCAATTTTGAGCTTTGGTACAGTGAACACCAACCAGTCTGACTCTAGTAGGACCACACCTTCTCTCATGGGTTTGCTGATGAGTTGACTGGTACATACACATACTTGGACTACCAGTAGAACATCCCACAGGGTGGCAGGTAGCTTAGCGTTTAGAGCGTTGGGCCAGGAATCGCCGAGCCGACAAGGTGAAAAATCTGTCGATCTGCCCTTGAGCAAGGAACTTAACCCTAATTGCTCCAGGGTCGCTGTCAATAATGGCTGATCCCTGGCCGTGACCCCAGTATGCGAGGGTGTCTCGGAGTGGGATATGCAAAAAAACTTTACATTTTACACCACACACTGTACAGGTTACACAATTGTACATGTGTGAAAAAGGACAAATATTAGCACCCTCTATTTGACATAGACCCACCCCCCCCCCCCCCCCCATCTTACTCTTTTCTCTCTTTATCCTCTGTTTTTGCTCATCCCTCGGTCTATACCATTGTCTATATGCTGTATGTCTCTGTCTGTGTTCCAGGTACCAACTCTGAGCAGTCCAATGCCTCTGAGTCTGAGGACCTCAACGAGCGTGACCAGCGGCCCCGGGGCGTGGGTGGAGATGAGAGGGGCTCCCGCCGGGGCGGCAGGGGCCGTGGATCCAACACTGGACGGGGCCGCGGAGGACCAGCCTCACGACCTACTAACTCAATCAGCTCCGGTACAACACAGCAGGCTAATAGTCCAAGCTAGGCTACTGGGTCGTATTCATTAGGCACCAAATGGGAGAAAACTGACAGAATTAGGGAAGTACTGCCTGAAGTTGTCCAATGAGAAACGCTTGTTTGCGTATTCTGTAGCAAATAGTTTTTCTACAGTTAGCCCTAATGAATAGGACCCAGGTGAAACTGGCATCTTCCAGGTCAAACCCCATTGTCTAGTTGTTTCTCATATGACTGGAAGGTGGTCCAGTTTGATATGGTAGCCCTTACTCTCTCTTAATCTCTTTCTATCTCTCTCACATTCTCTCTGTCTTTCTTTATCCCTCTCTCTGTGCTCCCTCTCCTCCCCCTGTCCAGTGCTGAGGGACCCGGACAGCAACCCGTTCTCCCTGCTGGAGGGTGAGAGTGAGCAGGGTGACACAGACGCTAGCGAGGGGGTGGGAGGGGTAGACCTCAGGAGACGCTCTCGCCGTCGCCGCAATGACCAGGAGCCCAGTGTGATGGACGCCGCCGCCACAGAGTCAGACAGCCAGGCCGGACCCAACGAGAACGGACTGGGTAGGAGGCCTGGAGAGGCGGACATTTTGTAGAACGGCAGATGGTTATGCTGTGAGGCTAGGTTGAAGTATTACAACGTTTATTTTCTCATACCTCCGGTCTCTTTTTTTTTTTTTTACCAGATGAGCAGGGCAGACCCCAGCGCCGCAACAGGAGCCGACGTCGCCGTAACCGTGGCAACCACCCAGAGGGAGGATCCGCCAGCTGTGACAGACTGCCAGCTGAGGGTGAGTAATGTGTCAGACCGTCCCGAACCTCCCTCCCTGTTGTCAGTCTGGACCTTGGAGGAGAATGCTCTAGTCTCTCCTGGATCCTTCCTTAGTCTGGTCCCCCCACTGTGGAGCACTGGTTTTGGCATTATACTGAATCTCCTGGTTAGATCACTGTTCTCTGGGTTGTTGGTTCTGCAGTGACCGTGGCAGACTACATCTCCCGCGCTGAGTCCCAGAGCCGACAGACCCTTCCCCAGGAAACCCTCGCTGTTCCCGAGCCCAAAGTACGTACGCGCGCGCACACACACACACACACACACACACACACACACAGATATCAGCTTTTAGTGACTTGTTAAACTGACCGTTTTCCTCCTCTGCTCTCCTTCCTCAGGAGAACGGGAGCAGTGCCAAGAGGGACGAGCACACGGCCCCCTCAAAGCGTTCCCCTAGCAACGGCATGGCCACACCCAGCGAGACCCTGGTCAACGGCGTCTCGTAGAGGACTAGGCCCCGCCCCCTAAAAACCCACGTCTAGAGCAAGACTTCATGGCAAACTGTCCCTGCTTGCATTTACTTAAACCTTAAAACAGATGAGTGAAAAATGACAAAATACCAGAAATTCATACTACTACGAGAGTGAGAGGGGAGAGAAAGTACAAAAAAAACGACAAAAGCATCATAAACACACGTAACAGTGTATGTTATCCTATCTATCAGTACTTAGTGCTTATTTAAATAAAAAAACAACTAGCTTGCCAGAAAATAGCTGGTGGATACGACTTGATTTTTAAAGAAATAACAAACACAGGACGAGACTTTATTGTTATTTTTGTTTTGCAAACTGTTTTATTTTGATGTTATCACTGGTTTGGACTTTTGGCCGCTCTCCCATTCAAACAGACACGTCTTTTACCAGTCTTTAAGGTCCGGAGGATAGGAGGATAGATGATGCTAGCTGGAGGAAGGGAGGGATGGGCGGATGAGTCCAAGAGGTGAAGAACAAGTGTCAGGAGTGTTACGTTACGTACCCTGGCCTAAACGTCGGTTGGTGATGACGCAGACAGATGGACAGAAAGTCGGACAGATGTGATTATTGATAGACATTGTGCCTTGAATTTGAAAAAAAAAACGTGTTTATAGTTTTTTTTTGTTTTTCACTGGAAAGAGGTTTTCTTTTTTTGAGAAGAGAACAGACCAGTAGCGAGGGAATGGGGAGTTAAACAAGTGCGGAGGTTAACTGGTAATACGTAAAAAAAACGAGGGAACGAATGACTGGCCAGAAAAAGTCTGGTGCCAAACAAGAAATTCAAGGCGCTTGTCCTCCCTAAGAGTGGACTGGACAGCGTTTGGTGTGTGTGTGTGCGCGTGTGTTTGTACGTGTGTTTGTATGTACGTGTGCACAGTTGAGAGCTGGCAACCACAGGATTAAAATGGAGTGGGTAGAGGACTAACACAGAAATCTTGGAATGTAGCCCTGGGTCAGTGGTGAGTTCACAAAGGCAGGCGAGGCCAGTATTGGCTGGGAGGGTAGGAAGAGGTGTTGCGCCACTTCCCCTCTCTTTTGCTTGACGCTAGTGTCCAGGGCTGTCCCTACACACAGCCTTTCACACAGACCAACAGACAAGGAGAGAGATTGAGGACTTGATGTTAAGTGGATTGATTTAGACTTTAAACAAGACTTCAGTGCCTCTTTCTCTGAGCCTACTAGCTGTGTGGAATAGGGAGGTAGGGTAACATGGCGCTCTAGCTCCCAGTCACACTAACGCCTGGGTGAACTGCAGCATGGCAGTCCGAACGCACACGCCACGGCGACCACGAGAGCAAGGGAGGTAGAGGGTAGAAGGGTCTGGGTGGGGGAGGAGACGGACGGACTGCAGACTGACTGTGTGATGAGCACAGCTTCAAATGAGATGAGTAGAGCCATTCACACACTGTTACACGCACATGCACAAACTGTGTGCGACCGCAACACGACACTGTTGCAATTCAGTCACGGGAAGTGGGGCAGTGGGATGCAGTCAGTGTGGTCGCCCCGCGTTGTGGTCGGAGGAGACATGAGTGTTTTGAGATGAACTAACTATAAGCGAGGTGGCTGTCCTGTTCTTAAAATGTGTCGTCCGAGGGGCGGGAGGGCGGAGACTCAAGACACTCTTAGTGGCTCGGTGGGCTCATGTTGTTACTGTCGTCTTGGTTACCTCAACAACTTTTTTTGTTCTTTCCACATCATAGAAAATGTGAAATAAAATGGAAGTGAAATCAACAACTGTCTTTGAGATGAAATAATTGATTTCTTCTGTCTGAGTTTGCGCTCTATTTTTCTAAATCAATAAACAAACCAACCAATTTGCATGATCATTTAGCAGTAGCTTTGCATGAGGGAGAGGGTCACATTTCAGTTTCACCATTATTTCATCCACTACTAGAACTGCTGCTAATGTCCACATCGAATGTGTTTAAGAATCCATATCTTGGAGCAGGGCTCTCTAACCCTGTTCCTGGAGAGCTACCGTCCTGTAGGCAGGCTTTTGCGCCTACCGGACGGTAGCTCTCCAGGTCCAGGTTTGGAGAGCCCTGCCTTAAAGACACTTAAGACTTTCCACCACTCATTGACCCACAAGATGGCTGCCTTTTTACTGGGATGACTAAGGATAGAATAAGCCCCATCTCCTTTCATACTAGTGGAATTGTTTCTTACACTAAGTATTACAATACATTTTAACACGAACCTGGAACATCAGTGTTAAGTGTTCACACAGCCACGAGTATTGAGTGTGGGTTAAACTGGGATAAAGGTGTGTTTACTGGATTAAAGTCACCCAGATTGTGTTGTCCCCTTTTGGTTAAACTGTCTGTTTCTGTGTCATGGTATGAGAGCAGAGCGCTGAGTATTTAAAATAAGAGTTCAATTGTGCATGCCTGCATGTGGGATTAAGAGAGACAGATGGAGCACTTAATGTATTGTTTGTGTGAAATGTATACCTCACTCGTGTCAGTACTGTATCTCCCTCTTGTGACTCTGTATCCCTATGTCTTTCTGGGTGGAGAGAATGTTGGTGTGTGTGTGTGCTAGTAGTACTGTTTAGGTACTGTCAACTCTTCACTCTGTCAGGTTTTGTCTCTGGTCTTCTCACTCATGTTCTGATGGCAATAAAGGACTTTTCATTGTTTGATACATTTTTATGTATTTGTCCCTTTGACTAAATCAAGAGTCTCTGAAACACAAACCTCCCCTACTGATAACCAAGTATTAACTGTTATCGCTCATCTGATGACAGTAACATAGATTGAATAGGCTAGTTTAATTCCAACCTTTACAATGATACATTTGTCTATTACAGCTGCATACTCCATTTCTACACACACAGAGCTAAACCCTAATATAGTCAGAGCATTTAGAGCTCTAGTTCAGGGCTCTCCAACCCTGTTCCTGGAGGGCTACTGTCCTGTAGGTTTTCACTCCAACCCTGTTCCTGGAGGGCTACTGTCCTGTAGGTTTTCACTCCAACCCTGTTCCTGGAGGGCTACTGTCCTGTAGGTTTTCGCTCCAACCCTAATCTAGCGCACCTGATTCTAATAATTAGCTGGTTGATAAGCCGATCCAGGTTAGTTCCAACTGGGTTTGTATTGAAAACCTACAGGAGGATAGCTCTCCAGGAACAGGGTTGGAGCCCTGTTCTAGAGTGACTCATGGCTGATCCAGAGGAAGCAGTTCACCTTGGGCACATGTGTCAAACTCATTCCACGGAGGGCCTAGTGGCTGCGGGTTTTCACTCCTCCCTTGTCCTTGATTGATGAATTAAGGTCACTAATTAGTAAAGAACTCCCCACACCTGGTTGTCTAGGGCTTAATTGAAAGGAAAAACCAAAAACCTGCAGACACTAGGCCCTCCATGGAATGAGTTTGACACCCCTGACCTTGGGTCTCAAATCGCACCCTATTCCCTATATCCCTCAAACTCAGCTCTGGACCTCGAAGCCAGTTCCACTGCATATTTTCATTGTTCCTCTCTTAACAGGGACTGATTTATGTGTGCTGTTAATTGTCAGGTATAATTATTCATGACACTTAGTCTAGCCCAGGACTGCCCAATCCTGGAGAGCTACTGTCCTGTAGTTTTTTGCTCCAACCCTAATCCAGCACACCTGATTTCTAATAATTAGCAGGTTGATAAGATGAATCAGGTTAGTAACACCTGGGGTTGGAGCGCAAACCTACAGGAGGGTGGCTCTCCAGAAACAGGGTTGGGCAACCCTGGTCTAGCCCGAAGGTTGAAAAACAGCTGAGGTCCCAGATTTTAGTAAAGTAGGTTGTGTGTTACATGCTGCCTCTATACATTTTGTTTTAAAGCAGTTAGGTGGCAGATCGTAATTGGTCCACCAGGGGGCAACAGTGCACGCCTCTTCAAGGGTAAACCTGTTCATAATAGAATGAGTGTCGACAGCACACCTAAGAGGAAGGAGGAGGTACACCACTGTCCCAACACACATTTTGCATTCAGTCTGTACACCCGTTTGAAAAACAGTGGCTGCTAGGCTTTGACATTTTGACGTAGTTGTCCGTTAATTGTCCTTAATGTGTATAAATTGTGAATCAAAACTGATAGGATAAACATCTTTGTGATACAAATGGGTGGCACAGGATCTGATGAGCAGGATTGAAAAGTACACTGTTGTAACCCACAGATCAGTGTGCACTGTGGGGCTGCGGTCCAAATGTCACCCTATTGCTCTGGTCAAAACTAGTGCACTTTGTAGGGAATAGGGTGCCATTTTGGACGAAACTTGTGTTCTCTGTTGAGTTTAGCATGAAGCCAGTGCTCTCAGCCAGGTCTCCTAGACTAGACGTAACATAGTAAATGTAAATCCGGGACACTCAAATTAGTATGATATGTTACGTTTGGTACATTTGGTATAAGACCGATGTTTACTTCAGGCAAAAATTGAAGTATAACACGAACGTCTAGCAACCCAAAGGTTGTGAGTTCAAATGTCGTCACGGACAACTATAGCATTTTAGCTAATTAGCAAATGTTCTACTATTTACAAATTTATTAGCTACTTTGCAACTACTTAGTATGTTAGCTAACCCTTCCCCTAACCCTGTAACATATCATACTAAATAGAGTGTCTCGGATGTATATACAGAATAATACGAGTTGCTCTGAGACCAGGTTGGTGTTCTGCAATACCCAGGTATGGATTGGGATCCCCATAGAAATAGCCCCAGGCATTACTAACACACCAGCCCATGTTTCTCCTTGAGGTTCCAACACTGGCCCATGATTAGCTCTATGGCCAGTCTGTTTCTGGAAACATCCGAATAGTATTCTAACTAGGCCCCTATCAATCTGTAAGAACAGAATATATTTCCCACAGTCACTTAACAAGATTTCCTTTGAGATGTCATTTGAAATGTTTTATGTTGTTTTGCCTTAGTACCAAAAGCCTATGTGGAGTGGAATCATTGTTGCATTCCCTATGCACAGATAGGCTACCCAT